CATTAGGGAAGCAGCGTGCCCTAATCGTAAGCAGATATTCAAGCGGTGTGCACTCATGGGAAATTCGGTGCAGCGCGAATAAATTTGATATCCTGCGTGAAGCGAGGCATATACACGCTCGCGCATTCTCCCCCACACGCACATACTCATATGTATCTAGCTTGCAAGCCCACACACGTACACATACAAACGTACTCTAATACTCCATCGGCATGCACTAGTATACGCGCTCGCTCGTTACCATCCCCCATACAGTAACCTTCCATTCACCTTACGCGACTGTGACGAGGCTTATACGCTATCGTCTATGTGTTCGCAAAGCTCCGGCAGCATCGAGAAGTCATCGAGAATGCAAAGATACCTCAAGCTGTTTCATGGTGACTTACCGAGCCGAGGTCATGAGAGAAGCATCCTCCCTCCCGCCCTCCTAAGGAGAGAAGAAAAGGAAAATAGCTTTGTGATGCCGCAAGAGCTCGGTTGGCTATATTTTTTTTACGATACGCAATAAAGCCTAGGTATGAATTCTAGAAGCGCGCGAAAATGCCGCCATCCGCCTCTGTCGTTGCCTCCCTCATATTATATATATACACACACCCACACATACATTCATGCAACCACCTACAACCGCATGTATACTGATACGTGAGAACTCAAGGTTGTGAGGCGTCTTTTTTGAACCAAGACTTATATTTTTTTCCACACGTATGTGCACGAATATTTACGCTTGTAAGCGCACGTATACACACATAGCCAGACTCATACATTACATAAACATGGACCAAGCATATAATAAGAGGCGTACGTACATATAAACCCTTTATGTGCTACTGAAGAAATGCGACGTTATACTGTTGAATTATACATCCATTATGTTGCACATAATAAAATATTGAATAAATTCTACAAAATTTAACCATGCGTATTTATAGGAAACCTAATATTTTATATTTAACATTAAACATTTACATTATATTTTGTGTATAGTTCAATACTTTGATCGATACCGTACCAAATTGGTTTAAAAACGAATTTATTGCACTTTCAAAATAGATTGAATTTTAAATTATCTTTGTATTTGTTTTGCACATCAGATATTGTTTAACTGAAAAGTTCTAAACAAATCACTACGATTTATTCGTAAAATTTTTCTATTTTTCAAACTTTATAAAAAAATTTAAGTTGAAAAGTTCCGAGAATGTAGACATTTATGTATAAGAAAGTATTTTTTGAGACAACTTTCGCCACGTGGGGGCTTCTGAAAAGAACCAGGAAGGTCATCTATATTTCATTCCAGCCTTCGCATGTTATCCATAGTATATTGGTTTATCTTTTACAGGAGAAAAGGACTACTGTATCAACAGAAACATATTGTCAGGATAGTGACAATTTTACAATCATTCATGAACCTTTTTACACATACTTGAAAGAACTTTTCTGAACAAAATAAAATCGATCAGTTAATGAAGTATTTTTAAGACTAAAGATAGCTACGATGCAAATTTCATTGCTATATTCTCATTTAAATCCATTCTATGCAAAAGCAATATTCAACAGATTTCAGCATAGCTTTCTCAAGTTTTGCTTATATAATCGGGCATATCGATTGCGTTTTGGAAAGATTTAGATATTGTAACTTGAAACTTGATACTGAGCACGCAATATTGTATAGGTGATTGTAGTAAAATTATTTGTAAAAAATTGAGTCGTTCGTAGTTCGATTAGTTTTTTTTTAAATTTTAAGTGTAGGCTCTTTATTAAGTAGTTTTAGGAAAATTTGTTATGAATTGTCATTCTGCGAAATAAGATAACTACCAAAAACTATTGATAATTACTCGAGTATATAAAAATTATTCCATGTTATATGAGAATTGATAAAATAAAAGGATTTATTGATTTTCTGGCAAACTTTCATTGGTATTTCCTATCAATGAAAGTGAGAGCTTATTGGTACTGCATCAGCAGGGTGCTCTGTTATAATTTGTATTACAACACGTTAAAATGAGGGAAGTGAGCCGTTAATCACGCGAGAGTAGCTAAGTGTCAAGATGGAGATCGATCAGTACGATGAGCTATACAATTCAACTACGTCGAAAGACACATGAAGGGATAGAGTGTCTCGTTGAGCATAATATGTAGCTAGAGGACACGTTCAGGCTCGCACGACACGGCCAATAAGTTTTGCAAGCTCTACTGCCATCTCTCTCGCTCATGCAGTCACTATTGCTTGCGTATAGAGTGACTGGGCGTACGATCTGCGCTTATTCTCACCTGGGGAGTTTAGACAGTTAGTTGTGGCTTCGCGACTGAACGATGCTCCATATGAATGGCGTTGACGGCCTGTGGGAGGTGAACCTGACGGCTAAAGCTGCAAACTGCACACATAGCGTCTGCGTTTGTTCGAACTGGTGCAATATAAGCAATAAACCTGAACTTTGGACGCCGTGCGGGCGTATTTGTTGAATAATAATTTTCGTTTCGAGCTTTAATCGATTTGAAACATCCTGAAGTATTAACACGAACTTATTTTTTCATTTTCCATTACATTAAAAAGAAAACAATATTTTCAAAAACATTAATTATAAATTTGACATGGCAATATGTTGAAGCCAGATCACTGGACCACTCTGCCCAGTACGAATTCGCAAACTGCACTTGTAGGCAAGCCCACAAGCGCTCTGAGCAGATAAATTCACTATGATTCGGTTGAATGAAAAAAACCTTAGATGCGCAATGAATCAAGTAGTCTGTTAAGAATGGAACACACACACGTCGTATGATACGAGCACCTCGTTGCAAGATTAAAAAAAGCTCGGGAAATTCTCGATTTCCACAGAAAAAAGCGGGAAAGCGCTAGGGAAAAACATGTATGTGCTTGCGTTCACCGTCCTAGTGCTTGGGTACTATAAGAAATCCTACGACATACTCCAGACTGTCACATAGTTAATATTAACCGGATTCTCACTCGAGACAGAGCAGTGGCAGGGCATACGTTTACGGTGGTGACGCATGTCGTATGTCTACATTATGTCCTAGCGGTGCTATGTACATACCCACGCTATCTAAAGTGTATATCAGTTACTGCTACATTGACCTTCTTTTTCTTTCCCTCGCGTCAAGAGTAGAAAAGTGCTAAATATTCATTACTCTACATCGGTATCTAATCTCTAACACTTAAACCTATATTCACATTTTTGCTGTTGTGCTAATTTTCCATGCGCATCAATCGTTCATGTATCGCGTGCCAGAAACAATTAATGCACGTGTAAACTCTATTACTTCATTAGACAATCTCGCTTCAATAAGCAATAACGAATCGCGGTTTCATTCAGCCTGAGGTTGATAAGTATTCTGCGGAGAGAACAGACGTTCACTGTACTAAGACGTGGCGGACATTTTTACTTTGCATTAAAACCCTTGCTCCAAGAAAAATCTACTTACCAGCATGTTTGCATACGTGTATGCAAGAGCTTTAAAAAAAACCATGTGTATACTGTCCAGCTTTTTTATACAGCTGTATGTATGTAAAGTTTTCAATCCGTTTTTTCTTTTCATTTTTCCTTCTACTCCTGAGCTTTGAAACTCCTAAACCAACATCGTTAGAAGTCGTTCTAGTTCTTTTGCTAAGTTTATCGCGCACTACGGCTTGAAACGTTTTTTTCCTCGTGCGTTGGCCAAACTGCTAAGAATCGACTTTCGGTATATTTTTATTCGCATATTTTAAAATACACTGATTTAGATGTTTGATAACTTGAGCTTTCAAGAGAAGTTGGCAAAAATTCCGAAAGAAAGGTTTTTCGAAAGATTGTTTGTTACCAAAGACAACATTACAAAGCCCTTACATAAATCTGGCTAAAATGACTGTAAAGGAGAATAAGATGTTTACTCGGAAATCGATGCTGTAATTAAAGGTCTGATTAACTAAACCAAGCACATGAATCCGATCGCTTTGGCATCCTTTATAGTACATCCACTCGCTCCCTCTATCTCTTTCTCCCTCTCTCTCCTTCTCTCAACCTCTCTTTCAATTGCTATCTCTGCAGCTCTTTGAATGCATATACTGGCAAAGCTTTATTGTGTGCGCGTGTTTGCGTGTTTGTGAGTCTGTATATGTAAGAGGAAGCACGTGCTTGCAGGACCGTGTTTTGACCAAGTATCGAGTAAATGTATGTACATACAGCGTGCGCATACGTACGTGTACGTACAGTCACCGGATGCAGTTGCGCCCGATTAGGTTAATTAGCGGAATAGGTCGTCTTTAATTTTACTGATTGAGCCAGTTCGTGTATCTTTAGGCGGAATCTGTTATCTGCTTGATAGAACATACTCGACAACACACAAGTATTATTGACCCGCGACTTGTAGCGCTCAACCCCGCTACGTAATGCTTATTGGGCAACAACGTACACTTTGCGCAATCTCACAATCAAAAGTGTTAATAGTACCTCACATATCTGGACAGTAGAATTCGACAAAGACATTCTTTGTCTTTTCTCCGTTCCTGTGAGTTTGAGAATTCCAATTACTACTAGGTACAGAGGGAGCTTGCATGAAACTCATAATTCAGAGGACTTTATGAAACCGAAATTACCTGAAAAAACTTTAACGCTGATGTTCTAAACGCGCCTGGGGAATGAAATAAAATCACGAATTACCCACGATCGATGGTGCATGATGCGGAATAGCTTAATTCTCTCACGCCCTAGCGTATACAGTGTATCTCTGGTCGATTGCATCGATACATATCCAGCTAATGCAAGAGCAAAAGCTTCACGCTTGGCCGAAAGCGCCCGGTTGCACTTTGAACTTGCTACATGACTCAGACACCCATACCGACCCTATACTCGCACATTCTTGCACACAAATGCACGCAGGCTAAAAAGAGAGAGAGAACAAGAGAAAGAGAGCGGAAGTGGATACTTGGGTTACTTGGGTTAAAAGAGGCTTCGTGGAACATAAGTGAGTATGATGTTTCGTGATGCGCTTGTGGTAGTATTACTCACCCAAGAAAGCGTTAGAGCTAGCACTGCCACCGCTACTGCTGCCGCGTCCTCGCTTGTCTTCGTAATCAGCGCTTTCCCGGTGGCTTGGCCGCTCGGTACGCCGCGGATAATACGGGGTATAGGGTGCCGGCCAAATGGTCGTTGTCCGTCTGGGCGAGGCAGTCGTGCTTTTGCGACCTGAAAAATGCACACAAACAAGAAACACCGGCTTATCCGTTAGTCTGAACGCAGCACTTTCTCTATGAAGGAAACCAAAAGAATAATCATGTGTGCGCATATATGTGCATTGTGCTGGAGGAAGGAGGAATGTTTTGAACAAGCAAGGATACTCGGCAGGAAGCGATGTGATGCATAAATAAATACTTATATGCTCGGGCGTGGGAATTGAGTAATGAGCATTATCCATCGCATTCGCTATCAATGTTTAAGTAAGCAAACTCAGTGTACGCATGTAAAAGTTGGGGTACGTGTGAGTACATGATCGAACGCGCCCTCGTCATGTACTATTCCACACCACAATTAGTTAACTCGTACGAACTTCAGCGCTCTATTTCTCTGTTTCTCATTCTCGTGACATTTGCTAATTCATGCACTCCCTCATTTCAGCTGTCTTTTATTAGTTATGCTCTTTATAATTTTATTTACCATGATTGGTAGAGTTTACGGCAACTCGAGCTGTTAAAAGCAACAATCGGAAACTCTTAATGAGGGTATAGTTCTTGAAAGTCGCTCGCTGCATTTAGCTAAATTCTAATGCCCAGCTCCGCGCCTCTAATTATGGTGCGCCACAACTGAGCGCACGAGTTTCTTCGGATGTCGCCTCGCTACTAATGAATATAAATATTGCTAATTATTATTCTAGTACGTGCACGGCCGCAGCACGCCCCAATAAATATGAATTTCGACTGACCATTTTGCTGCACGATGAAGTTGTATACAACTTCCATAGGACTCCCGTAAATCACATCAAAATAGAAAACAAATGAAATATATGATAACATTTTGCATGCCAGCGCAAAGAAAGCTTTTGAGTTAAAGCATGAATAATAGTATTTGAAAACTGGCAAATCTGTTGCTATACGTATACGGCAAACTGTAGCTTTTGAAAAACGTTTAACTTGTTGCATTGCATATGAATGTGCAACAGAAATGGTGAATCATTGGTATGCAAGTGTCTCGCTCGGGATACTGTGCGCCCTTTCCGCGATTATCTGCGTATTAATTTCTTTTTACTGGCGCCTTAATTTAAGAGGAAAAAAACATTTCTCCACGTGCTTACTACAACAATCAAAAATTAAAATTATCTTTGGAAGCAGCACGGCTAAATACGTGAATAAAATTTGCAAACAATGAGAATTGAAATTGAATCTGTTTTCGTGCCGTGCTTTGCCTCGCGCTTCAATGCACATAAATGGTATAATTATGAAAGTTTAATAATTAAACACGAGCCGGTAGAAAAGTGTCAAGAGTTATGATAAATTATCCAGAACTTTGTAAAATATACGTTAAATGTTTGTCAAAAAAGTCTATTATTCAAGGTAGGCGGCGAAAAAGCCCAAAGTCCTATTCACTTGCACACGCGCGCGTGCCAACTCGAGCGTCTGAATTCCTCGTTATATTATTATACGATACAGAGTAAACACACAGAGGCCTTTTCGCTCGTACGGCACAAGAAAAAAACGAGAGCCGGAGCAAAGCAGCAGACGATAGCAAAGCTGTCATCTAACTAGACCCCCTTGGATCTCCTGCACGGGACACATTTTCTATGCCAGTCCTGCGCTCGCCCACGCTCTTTCTCTCTTTTATTCTTATTTTCTGTAGGCGTGTATATTCACGAAATAGCACGGTCCGAGAAGAGTGAGAAAGAGGAGGCTCAAGCCACTAAAAAGTTTTCGAATAAAAGTTTAAATATGCCCGTCGCTAAACTTTGTTTTGCCCAGGATGATGTTATAGCCGCAGCCACGGCTGCGCTGGCCTGCTATGTATACGTATATTGCGAGCTGTGTTTGGGCCGTGCGATGCGAGTGTGTACACGAGCGAATGAACTCTCTTTCCGTCTTTGTCTCTCTCTCCCTCTCTATCTCTGCTCTCACCCCCTCACCCCCTCTCTCTCACTCTCTTTTTCCATAGCTCTTGCACGCGAATAGGTATATATACACCGTCGGCGGACGCTGTCGCGAGCTCTCCTGTCATATAATAACATGGCCGTTGAGACCTATCTGTATGCTATGACAAGCGAATGTATTATTATTGTTATTATTATATAAGCTCGATATAAACGGAGCGCAGTGTATCACAGAGATCGAAAAGGATACACGCAGAGATATTCCCGCCCGTAGACTGTGTACGATCCACGACCGCGAGAAAAGATGAAAAGAGCTCGACGTCGTGATATGCGCTGCAAGGGCATATCAATCGCAGATATATATACGCAGGCTGCGGCGCGTATTCCCGTCTACGCCGCGCGGAAACCAGGTCGATTCTTTTATGAAAACGAATTTCGCCTTGAAAATTGATGCCAGTCTATGAATTTCATTTGAATATTGCAAATGGACGCTTGAGCGTAACTGCCTTCATACATACGTGCTACAGAAATAAAGATTTTTTTCATTTTGCTTTTCTACTCGTATGAGCTCTTTTTTCTATGAAATGGCAATCGCGAGTCAAATTAGTGAATTTTTTTTCACGATACGAAAATTCCATCTGCTTTTCATTCTTGAATGCTTAATCTTATTAAGTTATTGAATACATATTAAAAATAATAAAATAAGCTTTTGTTCATGTAATAATTCAAAGTCTTACGAAAACAAAATAGAAGCATTTTATATTGTTTGGTAATATCATTCAAACTGTAGTTTAGCATTACAAAGTATACTTGTAGCGATTTTACTACAAGCGGTACTAAACTATGAAACAATGGCTGAGAAGGAAAATAAATTGGCGAAATATTATAAAATAAGAACAGGAGACTGGTAGTGACCATATTTTAAGCACATTCTTTATCTCAAAGACTCAATAGGTCTCAGCGGGTTAATAAGTTTTCAAGCAGACAAGATCTTTAGCACGTGCAAAAGCTGCGCTAACACGAAAACTGGCACTTGAAGAACGCGCGCGTTTATTAATAGCGATGCTGAGGTAGCACAACAGAGAACACCCTCACCCAGTGACTACGTTAAACTCGCTTTTCTGCGCAGCAGCAGCAGTAGCAGCTGTACTAATCTCGCTCCATGCGTAAATTTATCTCATCTGCGATCCGTGTGCTGTATGTGTATGCGTGTGGCTAGGTGTGTGTAGTCTTTGTACACGCATTGCGTTATAAGCTTTGACGTCTTTTTCATTAAGTATTGTGTGCAGGCTCGTGCACCACTACAAAAGTTGAAAATTTCAAAGAACGCGTTGCGCGCGCGAGCTTGCATCTCAAGCCACTATTCATTCTTCTTGCGATGGGAGAATGATCAGTTTACACATCGCTGCAAAGTAATTTATCCTGGCTAAAATATTTAGATTCCAACGTATGCGGTACGATTTCATAGTAGCGCTATTTTTCAAATTCAGTATTCGCATAGTCAACATTTGGAGCGAGTGCAAATAATATTTAAAAGAGCCGATAATGTTTGAAAAAGTGAACCCTCTAAAACAGCAACGAAGCCATTTTCGAAATTGAAAATATAACATAATATGAAAGTTCGGTGCACTGGAGGGCTCGAATTGAAAGACCTCGCGAATAATGCAGTATCTTTTGCCGAGAACAGATTATTCAGCAAATATACACGCAATATACATATACATGACAGAACTATAGATGTGTATACGTATATATGCATGCGCGTAATATTTAGTAAGCGTCGTGTGTTTCGTACATCCAATTAATCATTCAGAACTCATTCAGCAGAGACGAGAGTAACTTATCAATTAGGTTAACTTGTGCACACAGCACCTATAGATGCTTTCGAGCTAAACGTGTCTCATCGCCAAGGCATAGTACTAGTAATAGTACCAGTAGTAGAAGTCCCGTTAAGTCAGCCGAACACGAGTCTCTTCCTATTGCACCTCCTTCTCCTCCTCCGCCTCCCATATTCTCACCCAAGCCCTACTCTCTCTTACTGTCTATATTTCTCTTTTAGTTCTAGTTGCTCTTTCTCTCTCTCTCTCGCCGACTCGAGCGACAAATACTGGAAATCATTCTCTCTCTCTCTCTCTCTCTCTCTCTCTCTCTCTCTCTCTTCCCCCCTCCTGACGCTACTGCAGTGCACGCGGCACACCGGGCACATTCCATTGCGATAACTAATTAGGACTACACGATCGATGTATGCTCTCCAAGGGAGAGTCGAGCTACTCATTATTAAGCTCCCTCATGACCCCCGCGTGGACTAATTTCGGCCCCAACTGCACACTACTACGATTTTATTTTCAATGAATTGCAGAGGCCAGTTATTAAATAATCCTGCCTGCAGCCAGGTGATGTAAGAACCCGGTAAAAGACGGACAATTTTCGATAATTCAGGCTAATATCGCCGACAATTGCGGAAATATATCCTTGTTCACGGCCTCGTCAATTATTTAATTGTTCTGGAGATCAATTTTATGTAATCATCAATATTTCTATTATCGTCATTTATTCAGAATGTTTTATTTGAGCCATGCGAGCAGTGGATGTGTGCACATCGCTCTCAGGCTTCTCATCTGAATATGAAGGTTATGTATTCTTATAGGTTAGTTCTCCGAAAGACAGTAATTGAATTTTAAATGGACATAATTAGGTCGCGCTCGTTGAATTTTGCCCTCCCTGCAGCGCATATAATGTCACGTTTGAAAATGCAAATGCCAGCCCGAGATAAAGAATGTACTGCATAAAGAGAGCGCGAGCGGGTCATTGTGTTATTGATTGCATAAACTGTATAACCGTACGTATACATACGAAAATATGTGTACGTGTACCTCAATGCGCACGTATTATAGGCTGTGGTACAGGAGAGGCTTTGACCATGCGCGTATCATCGATAAGATAAAAATGCTCGCGTATAAATTGCAAAATATTCAAAAAGCCCGAAAGACTATATCGCAGAAAGAGCTGCAGCGGCCGCAGAGTGTACCCTAATGTTAATTTACAAAAAATGTTATGCTTTTCAGAATCCAGCCGGCTCCATTGTATGTCGTACATCGAAACCTATCAACCTACCATCGGTGCTTCATCATCGGCCTCGTTTGCACCCTCAACAACATCCATACGACACCCCCTCTTTCCGCACACATCCAGCCACACTTACACATTTACATACGCTGTATGCTCATGCACGTACTCACTCTTTTTATCATGAACCTCTTCTCGCTGCATGTATATCAGCGGCAGCATTATATAGCCGTACACAGGCTACGCTACCTCAGTTGTCAAAGCTATTTTTCATATTTCCCAGTAGATGCGCGCACGTGATAAGAAAAGAATGGAGCCTGGATGGCACGTGCCTAACTCAAACACGCTCGCCCGTCATCGTCGAGTTCGTGTGTTGGTATATTCGATACGCGCCCGCTTATTACACCCCGACCTTATACACACACGCGCGCACACACACTCACTGCACATACACATCCACTTATACAAACGTATATTCTTACAGCACATATGCATACGTTTTACGTGCCACTAATGCAAACCGAACCTTCTCTTGAAATACCGCGAGTGTCTATTGCTGCACACGTGTACGCCTGCCATTGGCTTTGAAAGTGTAACGCAATTCAGCTTTGCTTTCGATCTCGGAGCTGAGTCGTGACCGATAATTCAGCCTTACTCAATGACTATCTTTTCTTATATTCAACAAATTAATGGAAAATCTACGAATATACAAACAAAATCAAATGAAACTTTGGGAGATTGAGGACGTATGATAGCAGCTTTAGACAGCAAAGAATCGACAAAAAATGATTCGAAATTCGTTAAATTCTGCAAGCAAGAATGCTTGGTAAATAATGATATATTCATTCTTTTCTACTTCGAGAGAAGGCGTTCAAAATATACTTATTTTCATTTTAAAAATCTCACCTTCTTTGTTCGCGCTGCTTTTTATTTCTGTGGCTTTTGGAGGCACCGAGGGTTTCAAAAATTCTGTAACGAGAAAAGTTTGAATAACTTTCATAACTGCATTCCACTGATGCTCAAGAAAACAACGGTAAATCAATTATGCTGTATTGACTTACCGTAAAGTCTGATCGACCCTTCGGTTTCACCGAGTGAATTTTTACTAATGCACCTGTAGTTTCCAAAGTCGCCAGGCTGCAGGTTTTTTATGGTCAAACGCATTTGAGTTCTATAGCTGTTTTCCTTGATATCCGCTGAGTATTTGTCGGATGATAAAACCATGGAATTATTGAACATCCAATAGCTGATAGCTCGTGGATGAGCCTCAGTATGACAATCGATGGTTACATTAGTTCCGGCTGGTGCACCAACTAACTGATTAGGCACCCAAATCATTGGTAAAACTGAAATGTAATAATAATGATGAAATTTTATATTAAATTAATGCTTGAAACGACAACTAGGCTACTATAGAAATTTCGTAAGACTAATTTGCTTCAAAATATTGATTGTTTAAATAAAAATTCCGTTGAACAAACATAAGAATATTTTGTATACTGCAAAAATTTAAATATATGCTGAAACGAAATTCCTGATGTTTTCAATATTTTTAGAAAAGTCAAAATAAAAATTTAATATCAGTGTTGTAATTTTCAATATAACACTTATTATCTTTGACTGATCGAGATTCGAAACGATGGAAAAAATTATACATTTATTTAAAAAGTCTTTACTATTTAATAATTATTTTGAAAAAACTTTGGAAAAAGAAATAACAAATTGGTTGTCATAGAGATAAAATATAATTGATTGAAAACCGTAACTACTTTCATCGCAACGTTGAATCTCGAAATTAACGCATATTTATTGTTTAAAATATAGACGTGATTCATAAATGTTTCAATATAAACTATAGATACCAGCCATACAAGTTTTGATGTAATTACAACTTCATCAAAAATCTTCAAGTTTTTCTTTCAAGTGGAATATGCATTCCAATTTACTCGTCGTATTTTACTTCTTCGAATTCTCCAAAAGATGAACGTATACGTTCCTGTCGTCAAAGTGACATTATGGAGAAGTTTGAAAAAAAAGTTACGATGAAAAAGTAGAGTTTTCTGTCGTACAATTAATTTTTTACTATAGAATTCTCATTTGATATCTAATTTGCTAGCCAGGTAGTCCGAAAAAGCATAATTGCATTGTAATGAAAGAAAGAAGCCGGCATGTTAGTCAGCTACGTGCTAGTGACAAAAAAAAAGTTAAGTCGCACATAATCCGGTACATTCGTTGGTATGCTAGAGAATAAAAATTATGGCTGAAGGCCCGTTTACATCTATCAGAAAAGTCATAACACTTGAGTCATTTTGAAGTTGAGCTCATGAGATATAGTCGTTGGATGAACCCTGCAACGCAGTGGTCGCGCGCGCCTGGCGCTACAAGCTTTTTCACGGGTGGCTGCTCTTTTTCCGCTGATGTTTACGCGGTTCACGGTAGCATACCCATAAAGTGTATATATGCTCGTTCACCAAGTGACGCGAACGAATGGAAGGCATAAAGGGGAAAAATGACCTGGACCAGCGGGACATTTGCCTCGCGTGCAAAGCACCAGGGCTGCGCGAGTATTTCCCATGAGGGGCTTCTTTCGCGATACATGCAACGCCAATCTAGTCCCGCAGCCCCGCATCCAGTAAACTCGTCTATGTATATATCTATGTATAAGATATATATAGATATATGCATTGCACCTATCCTCGCCTCATGTTTGCTCGCTTTTCGTATCGGCTAGAAAAATGAAATTCAAATAATACGCTCGTCTTGTCGACCGAATTTTTCCCTTTTATTTATTCTTTTTATTGCTTTCTTTCACACTGATAAATTGTACTATGCGAATAAAAAGCTTCTTATAGAGTAAAAATAATTCGGTTTATAAACAATTTCGAATAAACTCATTTGGTGGCCCTTTCAAGAAAAAGTGCATCGTTACTACATGGAAGAACTGGACAAAATTATACTTGTCTACAAGATTACTGTAAGTATACGTAAACTTACGAGAAATCATTCTTATATTCTCTCATTTTTCGACAAATAGGTTCCAGCTTAATGTTTTTTTATACAAAAACAATCATGTGTTCATTGCTTTGGGTTTCTTCAATGGTATCTCTGATATTAATTCGAATTTTCGGAATCTTATATTAATTTTATTGGAAGCTATAAAATACTTCATATTAAGAAAACTTTGAGAATTATAAAAATTAAAAATAATCTTTTCTTACGTTACATGCAAATTGTTTGAAAAGTCATCTAAACATTTTCGGTATATTTGTTGCAGTTTTTTAATTTTCATTATTATAATTTTATTAGTTTCCCTATAGAGCACCTTTGATAACCCAGAAAAGTTAACATAAAGTTCCTAAAATTTAAATACATTTCAAGAGTACTGATGATATGATATACAACTTATATTCATCAAGTTGTTTGGAAAAAGATGAAGAAAATAGACTCAGTCACGTATTCATTTTTTGAACGATAATAATTGTGTTCAATGCTGAAGTGACAGCCTGACGAAGTGTTCGTGCAATTCATTGTTTAAATCTTAAAAACAATATTTACTCTTACTGACGCACCTTTTATAATTTTGAATTTATATTTATATCTGTATATCTGTGAATACTGATAGAAAGTTGGATAAAACTTACATTCAACATCAACGATTATTCTTTTGCTAACTGTTGGTGGCACTCCATTACTGGCTATGCATAAATATACTCCCATTTCACTCCTTGTTATTTTAGTCAAATTGAGTTGCTTTCCTTCGTACGTATTCACTGAAAAGAATGAATAAATTAAAATGGTTTTATGTTCTACCACATTGATCATAATTTTCAAACAACATATTTATCGATTATATTTCCAAAAAAACTTTGCGTAAAATTTTCTAGTCCGTATTACCACTGCAATAAACATTTTTTTAATTTTTGATCTTTTTCTGCCGGACGATTTTGTGAATGAAAGGAACTACGATAGCTCTCTGAAATTATAAAAATTCTTAGACCAACTTTTCTTATTGATAATATCTGTCTTTCGTATAAAGAAAACAGATTTTATTTTTCATGATTAGCTAGTGTTTATTGTTACTGTAAAAAAATATATTGGAAGTTTTTCTGAGTATACGTTCCGATACTAGTAAGAGCGTAACATTTTCCTGTTTAGATGTGTTATTATGTATTTTATAGGTGATGCAGCAACGCATCCCTTACATAAATATTGAGCTTTATTTGGATGCAACTTTAAGCAGCAATAGTTCGCATATGTAGCCCTATAGGTATAGCAATATAACGCTATATAATAAGAACTTTTAACGAGCAACGGGTTAGTCAGAACTCTTTAGAGCTGTGATACTACGAAGATTTTAATGCACGTCACTCTCACTCTATACCTATGTGATCGAATTGATGTTCGCGACGTACACGCAAGTTCACATGTAGCGGCTTATTATATTTTTACGTATGTTTATTACGGGTTTCTATGCTCGTTATTTTCACGTTGAATTTACCATTTCCTTTTCCCTCTTTTCTATTTCGTTTATTGAATTTAGTTTATATCAAAGTATTTGTACTAATATCTAAATTTTGTAAAAATTCAAATTAAATTTATATCAAACATAATAAGAGACATGGACATTTTTTCAAATATTTTGCATTAGTTTCAATGAATGTATGAAAACTTCAACTATCAAACTTATAACGAGCAAGTGCTTACATGGCGAATTAATTTTTTTTTTTTAATGTAAAAATCCATGAAGGAACGTTTTTTCGGATCAAATTGTTCAAACATATTCATTAATTTTTTATAAATTAATTTTAGACTTTTTTAATAGTAAATAGTTCAAAAAGTCGTCCATCTTGAATGGTCAACTTCTTTTGAAATGTAATCTTCTATATTATTTTCGTTTAAAACCGTATGCACTGAATGAAGCAGCTGGTGTTGATAGTTATGCGTTAGATTGAAACTCACACGCATCTCCAGAATCATACCGAATAATCATGTATATACATAAACACAAATATATATAAGCATATGTACACCCAAATACATATAGCATGGGTCATCCAACCGCAAAGCCTCTCACATCCACGTCTCGGACATCTCACACATACGTTCACCCACGTGAGTGTATATATTTGTGTTTGCATATGTGTTGAGAGACAGAGAGAGACAGAAACTTTGCGGTCTTGTGCATACACCAGCTGTGCTACTGCAGATTATGCGTTTGAGTTCTCAGTGTCACTTTTGTCGAAAACAGTGTAATTTATTGCTATGACAGTTGACAACCATCTAGGACATGTGGACACAGAAAATATTAACTGTGATTGTACTCGATTGCATGTATCGATGCATAGTTTTTGTAATAAATGAAAAAATTTTTTCAATGAAATCTATATATTACGCGTTGAATGAGTCTCGCGCTAAAAGTTCTGGCCTTCCCAAAAAATCTGGAAAACCGATGACTAAAAAAAAAAAAATAATTTTCTACAAGGTATATATATAACAGATACCTTCTATTTACAATGTATATACATAAAAATACCTTGTATTTACAAGGTACGTACATTGTACAAGGTATATACATTATATGTATACCTGGTACATACCTGGTACATACCTTGTAAATACAAGGTATATACATTATATATACCTGGTATATACCTTGTGAAAACTTATTTTATATTTCTTGCTTTCTTAAAAATTCTTACAAAACTCTGACTGAAGAGAGAGAGAGAGAGAGAGAGCAAAAAGGAACGAAAACGGCTGAATTAGCAGAAAGAAAGAGAAGGTGCTACTCTTCGCTAGTTTGGATAATTGAACGATAGCTGCGAAATCAAAAAAAAAGATTTTCTAATTTGTGATTATTGTTCAATTTGATTTACATTATTCACTGTGGGACAATGTCAATATATTCCATCGAAATTAAATTTATGTAAGAGAAAAAATCTTCTATGCATCAAGCTATTTCTGGTCTAATCTAATGGTGGAAAAAAATGTATGTATGATGTTTCTTATCGCCTTAACAACAACTCAAAATTTGCAGAAGTTTAAACCCCTTTAAAATTGTTTTGAAAATCTTGAAATCGAAATTTTCTTGAATTAATGATCAGTGAAATTTAAAAAAAGTCTAGCTCAGGTCTAAATTAAAAAAAAAAACATATAGCAACCTAATTGAAAAATTGAAATTTAGATATTACTTCTAGTTGTATTACTAGACATGACTAAAACATTGCATTCAGCTTGTGTGAAACGATACGTTACAGCACAGGCCAATGATGAGTGCCAGTTTGATTTTAGCTATCCGCGTAAAAAAACCGTAGCTAATTCATTGGCAAAGACCTTCCTTCTATTTTTTAGTCTAAATGCCAATAAAAAATCATGAATCCTTTATTTGAAAAAAATATTTGGAACCTTTACATTACGAGAAAACCAAATTTTTTTATCAGTCATTTTACTTCATATATCGCTAAGTTCTAAATAATACTTATGTGACAAAATAATTAGCTAAAAAAATTATTTTTAAGTCATGCGGTTCTACGAGAAATTATTTAATTACATACCTAATCAAAACAAGTTGAGGACACAACTTTTACCTTAAAAAATGTTTAATCGTAGCCTATAGTTAAGAACATTTCTGAATATAATAAGCTCAATTCTTTCTTATTTGGAATATGCAATTAGTACTTGGCACGAAATCACAAAATTAATTAACATCTAAATTCCATCTTTTTCTTAGCACGCTCATACCATAACGCATCTATTGTTACAATACTTTCATGTACTTGAATCGCTAATAACCTTCTTTATGTCTCATAGTTATTTGGGTGGTAAGAGCGTTTAAAGCGGTACAAATATTTTTGTAAGTGATTGCAAGTTTATAATAAAGCTTCTCCAATTTTTCTTTGTGATTCTCGTCTTCAAACTTTAACTTTTATAAGAAGCTTATGAAACATGTCAATGAAATTGAAATATACCGATCGTAAAGCTTAATTTTTTGTATACATTAATTTTTCTATTCCTTTTTAAGTGTTTAAAACGTAAAAACAGCGTCGTTTTTACTAAAATATTTTTCCATGAAACTGTATATTTGCACTATGAAACCAAAGCAAAAAATTGTTGAACGTGATACACAATTGCACATGTTACTCAATTACTAAACACACGATTTTCAGCTGCAAAAGAAAATTCTGAGATTTAGTGAAGGTGGAAAAACCGCCTGAAAATGGTAGTAGCTAGGAAATTAAATTAAGCGTTGGCGCTTTTTTATCAGGGAGCATTGCTGGAAGTGCAATAGATATACAGTACTACACGTCATAGCCATTTGTCACGTAGCACCTTCTCTTTCTTTCTGCTAATTCAGCCGTTTTCGTTCCTTTTTGCTCTCTCTCTCTCTTTTTCTCCCTGCTTCTAACTTTTGACTGTACAGCTCGAAATTATCCTCGGTCATATAGGCACATTCAGTTTGCGTTGGCTGCATAGGGCGAGACTGAAGTTTCGCTACTTCTCAGGATAGTGCCCGAGTGCTAGTGAGAACAAGCACAAGAGTAAATGCTCTTCGCTAATACAAGCGCGAACGCTTTGGAAAAAGAGAAATAGAGTGCGCATCGGTTTTAAAGGAGACGAAGTAAGAGAAGAAGAGAAGGAAGAAGAAGCAGTAGAGCTAACTCAAGTTCGAGTTGATTAATCTCTACAATATTTAAAAAGCAACGGCAGGATGAAGAGAGCGCGCGAAAGAGAGAGAGAGAGCTACGGAAGCTTAAAACCTAGCCTTGAAGAAGTCACAGCCGCGCGGCATGGGTGGCGGATAGAGTGTACTGAGGTATAGTAGTGATGGGTGCTGCGATTACACTATATCTTCCTCGGTAGTAATAGTCTCTATGCTCTCGCTTTCTCCTTATAAATCCTGGCTAATCTGCCGTTTACGTTGCTCTAGTTCGCTCACTCACTTTCCCTCTTCTAAAAGGATGGCTTATGCATAAGCACATTGGCGTACTTTTTTACCTACACACTCTTGACCCGTAAGATGAAATTTACTCATTCATACACTACATGCATTAACCTAAGCAACACCGACATTCCTAATTGTTTCACCGTTATAAAAGAAAAGGTAACATTGAAAAAATCATTAAGTGATGTGTGCAAGCGTTTTTTGCGATTTTCTATTGATTTCACATGTTGTATTCGTAAAGAGAAAAAAAAATTTACTGCTATTAAATTGTGCAAATGCTGTTATTGAATCCACATAAACTATTTACATTGCCCACGAATAACACCTCTAAAAATCAACTTTCCTTATTGGTGCATTCGAAGTGTATGATTTGCTAATTATTATTGGTTTTCTTTCTAATTTTTTTCATTAATAAAAACATTAACGTTTGATTATCATATTGAAATTTTCATAATCACTTTAACATAATATTAAATGCTTATCATTTTCAACGTTTTACGTACATCATTTCACGACGCTTTAGATAGTTAATAAAAACTGATACACTTCGTAGCGGTACTCTACAACGATTCAGAAGATTGATAAACTACTCGCGCTATCGAGCAAAACCCTCCATATAGTCAATTCGATATTCAATTTTCAAAAAATTCTAAAAAACTTTACACATATCCTTTAAGATTTTTTTTGCATTTTTTGCTAAAATCGTTCCTTTCCAAGAAAAAAATTTCATTTATTATAAACCTATATTATGTACCTTTCGTCCGACGATCGACAAGTATTCCCTGATTATCCTCACGTTTCCACTTGAGCTTTGGAGTTGGATATCCTTCGGCCTTACAGGTTAGTGTAACGTTCTGGTGCTCGCGTACGGCTACTGTACTAGATGTTGACATCGAATCCAATATGTTGGGTGGCACTATAAATTTCAATGTAATTTTTTGGTACAAGTTTAGTTTTATAATTATTAATTTTTGGTATGATACTGTTCATTGATGGTATAAATATTGAAAAATTTACCAACGACTTCGAGAAATCCAACTTGACTCATCATTGGTTCCGTATTTACTTGACACATGTAGTAACCCCGGTCATTTCTTTCAACGCTTCGAATATGTAATAACCAAGTTTTGTGATTGTCATTAGATACTGAAAATCTAGGAATTTTCGTAACAACGTGCTTATGTACTGACACAAGCATCTGTCTACCGACATGTATCCACACAACCTGCAAAAGTAAAGTCGCAATGAGCTATTGAATCAGATGTTTAAATGATTATTTTCTTGAAAATGTATTCATTTTATGCTTCAATTTTTTTACATTTCATATCTAAAAATTGTATGAGGTATTTAAAGTTATTTCCAACAATTTTATTTGGTTTCTTAATATGAACCTTTGATAAGGGTAAAAAATAAGAAAAGAAAAACTAGAAAAGAAAATATGCGAGAAATTTTTCAATAGAATCTTCAGACTGTCGTTTATGCATCGCAGAGTTTAGGCCTCGAAAAAAGTGTAACATGATTTCGTTACTCCCGTGAGAACTATCTTCTCGCGCGCGAGCGAGTGAAGCTGCTTTCGGGACGAGCTAAGACTTTTCGAGCAGCTGCACATATAGCGCAGAAGACGATTCGGGAGCGACAGAATCGCGAGGAAAATATAGCAGCGCGAGTCAGCTCAGTGTCACCCGATCGTTTGATATTTAGAAGGTTGTCTTATTTCCGCGCCTTGGTGCCGCACCAGCTGCCATCGAGATTGCTTTTTCGGAAAAGCGCCCAGCTCAATGCCAGTTAAAGAAAACGATTCTTTTCTCCCTCACTCTTCGTTCTCTTTATTGCTTCTCTCTCTTTCTTGTCTTTTATTTTCTTATTTTATTCCAAGTGATCTTGTATTGTAACGAGAACAATACACTTATACCACCAGATGGTGCCATTTTTTCCATGAGTTGTTCAATAATTTTATGCTATTTTTTTAGTAATTGGAAAATTAATCTGATTAGATAAAATTTATCCGAAACGTAATATTAACAGACACTTTTTTCAAATATTATGTTACATTTAAAATGTAGATTAAATAATAACCTGATTAACTTTTTATAATGGTTATATTTTTCATTTCGTTTTATTTCTGTTTAAACGAAGCTCATTCATGAGCATAAAAAGAAACTTTTCTAAATAGAATTCAAATAAGTTTTCTTTGGTTATTAAATAAACCCTGCTTCTAATACATAATTTTACCTACTGATAAAACAAGTTCAATTTGAACTGAACTTTACCTAAAGTTGTAGTATCATGTTGATATTACAGGCTAGAACATGCAGTTTTTTTTTATTAATAAAAAAAATTTTTTTGAAAAAAAAACTTTATTATTGAGAGAATTTTAATCGGTGAAGATTTGGGTTTTTAATTTTGCTTTTGAGCATACAGAAAAGTTATCTGAATTATAAGTTGCCGAACCGATACATTGAGTCAATACGGGATAACTATTAAAGTCACAATGAAGATAATTTGAAATTTGAATTTAATGGAAAGAGATTAATAAGAAGATTAACATAACATTTGTCACCCAAGATGCTGGCATACCACTGCGTTTATTGGCCTAAATACTTGCAAAAAAGTCCCTCTATCGGCTGCAAGCTCGATTGAAATCTCTGGCAACGATTCAAAAAAGCCTCTGGCTCGGTCTTTCTACCATGCTGATGCTCTTTAAACCTATATGAATACGCGACCCATAATTTCTCTTTTCGTCCATGTTTCCTTCACACCACTTTAGTCTTTTTTCATTTTGTTTTGTCTCCAATGTGCCAGAAAGGATTAAACCATCGCTTTTGGCCAGGCGAATAACTCAAGCACCCTAATAAAACCGCATGCTTTCACAGCTATTTGTCACAAATAAGAAAATAAAGCGGACAAATTTTTCTTTTATTTTGATTTTTCTTTCTACTTTTTATAGTTTTTTTATTTAGTACGGGAACAAATTTTATCACAAGAGGCGTGAACGGAAATTTAAAATCTGTACAATTAGTACATTTTTGTCTCAGACATTATTATAATGGTAAATTATTTGTAGTATCAGTAAAATAAATTTGAAAGACACACTTGGATTTACATTCATTTTTGTTTATAATTTCTTCTTACCTTATAAGTTCCCAAATTTTCAATCACACATGGCAGATTCACATCTCTTCCTAAGGCTACAGTAACATTTGGAATCGGCTCAGCGAACATTGGTTTATCGGATAGAGCTGAAACAGTCAGATATTCGTAAATTAGTTTATTTTTCTATTATTATACACATTAAAATATCAAAAATAATTTTTTACTGTTGAAGTATTCACTATATTTATATGAAAAAATGTACATTAATGTAAGTACAAATTTTGAATATGCCTTTTATGAAAGCATCCAAATCTGTTAACTTGAGCTTACTCAGGTATCAGAAACTTTTAGCAGAATTTATAGGACCTTAAAAAACGTTTTTTAGAGGCTAGAAGTTCACGTTTTTCCTATCTTCATGGTTTTCGATTGTACCGGAACAATTGTCCATCTCAAACCTGATTGACTCCAAATAAATTTTTTGTTGATTTTTTCCAAGAATTTTGTCGAGAAATTGTCCAAGTTTATAAAAAATACTTTAAAAAATTGTCTAACCTGTCGATAAGATCGCGTTCCATGTATAATTTTTTGAAAAATGTGTCAAGAACGTTATTAAGCCATTAAAATTACATTGGGTTTGATGATTCACGTAGAAAGTCTGGTTTGTAGATATGCAAGTTATCAAGCGCTAACTTGAGCGCTGTGACTGTATTAAATTTCTGCTATAGTAAACAGTGAATGGCTACTCCTACTTTAGTTCTCACATAGCGCCGTAGTGCATAAACACTTTCACAGGTTGATGCATACATAGTCTCAGTGAATGACTGAAGTATCTTTATATGTGTATAGGTAAATATACAAGTGTATGTGCTGGCACGAACTGCGTCTTAGTAGCGTGCAGTCAGTCGGGCACGCGATACAAGCCTATTCGCAATTCGTTTGCCAAACGAGTTGTATTAGAACGTTGTATAAGTACGTTACGGTCCACTATATTATCAAACGAGTTTTACACGGCATCAGTGATGACTGAAAGTGTTTTTCGTTCCCGCCGGAGTGTTCTAAAACTGCAAAATGAAGCTTCGATATACTTTCTTAGTTTTTTTTTTGGTGATCGTCATGTGCATTAGTACATTTTTCATAATGAAGCCAGAGAATATAGACACGTTGACTTGCGTGAGCTGCAATAATTTAAGTTATGTATCAGAAGGTCACAAAACTATTCTATATTGGAATAGTTTTTTTTCAGATCGAAACTTTAACATGGGTGAGGGCTTCATAGCGGAACATTGCCCATTGTACAACAACTGTTACGCTATGAACTGGCGATATGCTCAAAGTCATGAAAAGTTCGATGCTATTTTGTTCCATGGAATCAATCATCAACTCAACGACAAGGACTTACCAAAAAAACGTAGCTCCGAACAAAAATATATCTTCATGACTTTGGAGAGCCCAGCCAATCGATGGATAAGCTCGAAATTTAATGACTATTTCAACGCAACTATGACCTACAAACTCGATAGCGACATCACCTGGACTTACGCTGATATCGTGGACAAGACTCAGCGAGTAATCGTACCTGCAGCACGCGAGAATATTCATTGGAAGTCAACAACCGAGATGGAGGCCGCTACTGCTGCAACAAGCTTGGACGCCGAGGCCGAGAGCCGCTTGGATGCCTTGATGAATGGCAAGAGAAAGTTAGCTGTTTGGTATAGGAGTAATTGTATTACACCCAGTGCGCGAGAAAAGTATGTGGAGGAACTCGAGCGTTACGCGAATGTAGATAAATTTGGTTCTTGTTCGTCAAACAAAGGTTGCCCACGAGGTCAAGACTGTTTTAAAACTCAGATAGAACCCGAGTATTTCTTTTATTTATCCTTTGAAAACTCTCTGTGCGTCGACTATGTCACTGAAAAATTTTTCGATGCACTCAAGTAAGTAATAAAATGATTAAAATTATTTTATGTTATGAAAAAACTTCATTTTCACATGCATACGTACAGAAATCATATAGCTAAGCTCAGCATAAGTAGTGTTGTAACCAACTACAGTGCAGGTTATTCATGATGTCATACGATTATAACGAGGCAATATAAAAGATAATAGTTTGTTATACAAATTAATCATGTATAATGTGAGACCTACATTACATAAACCTTCATTTATGGAAGTAAACTTATTGATGTACGCGTGTAGCAGGTGCATATCTCCACGTCAAAATCACTCGTGATATTGATTGTACTAACATGAAACAAAATGCAAACCATGGATCTATAAAACGCGATTGCATATTGTACTTTCTATTAAGATAAATTTTCATCTAACTATCACTTAGGAAGATATCGATCTTATAGTATAAACAAGAAAATAATATCATAAATAAAAAGATTAAATGATATCATAAAAATGTCTTTAATAAAATAGCTAAAGATTGTCTCACCGCAGAAAAGTATCTTTCAGAAACACATAAAACAATGTGGGTAATAGTTGAACATGAAATGAAAAAATGTTAAATGACAAATCAAATTGAAATTATCTTTATTTTGCGTCATTCTTTTTAGAGATAAAAATCTAGCTTTATTTATTATTACATTTTCATGAAATTTTTGATCAACTGACACAAAAATTAAACCAGTAATAAAACATCAATTATCATCAATCAATATATTAAAATTTGAGTAAAGAATTAAATCGCTTTTGTTTATTTTTACATTAAAAAAAATGTTTATGGTTACATTTTTTTGCATGTTTGTTTACATTATGCAGAAAAAGAAATCAGTAATTTAAGATTTCGTGTAAAAATACCTTAAATCAAACCCAGTATCATCAACTTTTATTTTACATTGAATCAGCATTGAATTTAAGGTTTTTTTAACGGAATACATATGTCAGAAAGCGGTATTATTCGACTTAGGGATCCGTTTTCCTGTGGACGTAGCAATTTTCGCAAGCAATTATGATAATATTTGAAACAATATTTCTTATCGGGTACAAATACAAATGCGCAACTATAACTTGTCGGAATGTTACTTTGCCGTTTTTTAATACTGTGCATTTGTATATAGTTTCATGATATAAATCATTTTTTATCCATCAAAGAAGATCTCGTATTTTTTTGAGTGATATTTTAACTTCCGTTTCGGAAAATGTACACTTCTAGTTGATATAATTTTATGAAGAATGTTAAAAAATTAACATATAATAATAATATTTTTGTTCGATAATAAAATAAAAATTTTTTTTCACGTATTAGAAAAATTGATAAGTAAAAGAAATTGGACAAAAGAACATTCAATCAAAATGATACAGCGTGACGCAATAACCACACACATTTGTTTAACTATGGAATCAAGCAAAAAATATACATGAAGTTTTGATCATAATTTTTTATATTTCAGAGTTAGTTATATAAAAAATTATAAATGTATAATTTTTATTACAGACATTATGTAGTACCTGTTGTTTATGGTGGAGCTAACTACAGTCAATTTGCACCACCAAAATCATACATCAATGCACTTGATTTTAACTCACCGAAGGATTTAGGACAATATTTACTTACATTATCTCAGAATAAGACTGAATATAAAAAGTATTTCGCATGGAAAAAATTTTACCGTGTTGAATCTCCGATTAAACGAGTAATATGTGATTTATGTAAGTTTGTAAATGAAAAAACAAGAAGGTCTTATGATATTTCAGAGTGGTTTAGCATCAATAGTTGTCCAATTCAACGAAAATTGAAAAACCAATATGTTAAAAATCAAATCAGTTACGCGACGAAGAAAACAATTGATGAAAAATCGTAAATGGTGCTTCGTATCCTAAAATAAATTCTAGATAATTTTAATTTAAAAATATTTTATACGCATTGAGTTAGTAAAGCATCTGTGAAACCAAATGGAAATATCTTATATATTTATTGAAAATATGTTGTAGTAAATGTACCAATGTAAGTTGAAATGCAAGTTGAAAACATTTGAATTATATTCAAATTTGTAAGAAATAAAAAATTTAACTTTGAAGATGATACAAAGAGCTTTTAAAATAAGACTTAGGAGGGAACTAACATTAAAATAATTGTAAGTTTGATAGAAGACAAAAAAGGTAAATATCGTTTCGCATAGCGGTGAACGATTTCTTTGAAGATCAGAAAGGGTCGAATCGAGGCGATATACTTCGCTGGATACCGAGGATCGAGTTCAGGTCATAGATGTATACATATACAGTACATATACATACATACTGTACTAGCTTTTACTCTCTACTCTCATATACTTGACTATCTTTTTTCGAGGATAGATAGTGAAAAGCTTTAAACTAAAAGTAGTCGAGAAACACAGGAGAAAACGAGGTTTGCAGACGAAGCGATACCGACAACTCGCCTTTGACTAAAGACGATCGTGACAAAATTCTTTGGTTGATGTTTCTGTTCTTCCCTTTTATGTTAGAATTACAGCTGCTCAACAAGACAGTTATTTCGTGAATGTAAAGAAAAAAGTAAATAGTCAGATTATAACGAAAGGTAGTGTTTGACGCGTAAAACTCGGTACAAGACTCATTTCATTGACAGGTGTAGTGCAGTCCTGCCTCGAATTTAAGTCCAGTCTTTCTATTCACTTGGTCGAAAATCAGAAACTAGCACTGCAGTAGCCGTACGCATCTTTATGACTGTACGCCGTATAGCATGAAAATGAACTTTCTAATTTCTTATACGAGGAGCAAGCTCGCTTGCACCTTGCGGCAGCTCTTATCAAAGCCCGGATAATAGAATTGAACCGCGCAAACTGCTTTCTTGTATGCGCAGAATTTAATCAAAGCCGCTTTATAATGTTCGGATAAACTTTCAGAATGAATAACCTCGTTTTTCTCACTTTCCTTAACGAATTGTACGATGGTACTTTTAAAAACTCATTACGAAACTCCTCGCTCATCAAATTTATTATGTTAATATTTATAATCTTTACGAAATGAGCGAACGGGTGCGCGAACCTCGAATTAGTTGATTTTTTTAGTGATTTTTGAAAAATTTTTTAAAGCAAAAATTATACTGTAGCTACAGTACAAAGGGTTACTCTTTCTAAAGTTCTCGGTGAACGGTCGTATTTCTTTAGTCGACACTTACACAAACTTAAAGTCTCCTTTTCCACAATTCACGAGACGCGTACAAGGATGCTTGCGTACTTATACCCCTTTCTGACTCGTCATTTCTCTTTTCCCTTCCATTACCTCTTACATCACGCATCTACTTTTCTCTTCACTTCCCCATATTTTTTCTGCTCACTTTCTCTACCAACACATATATCCAATGCCACAAACACGTACAAGCTCCAGTGGAAAAGCCACAGAAGATTTTCTCGCTTATTTTTTTCCTTTTTCATCCTGATCCGTCCTTCACTTTTTCCTTACCTGCACTTGCTGTTTTTCATTCTCGACGCCACCTTCAAGCGCTCGAGCTATTTTCCAATTCCTACGCCCTGTTTTTTCGCCTACAACTGAATTATATACATACATACTCACAAACGTCTAGAGCAGCTGTAAAATGAAACGGTGAAACTTGTAAGGTCAACTGCACAGGGGCTCAAACAAATGTACAGTTCGAATTGCTTGAGGTAGAAATATTCTTATTTAATTTATGCATGTATGCATTCATAAGTCATAATTTGGAAAATACTCAAGCCTGAATTTTTAGTATTAAAAGTACAAATAAATGCGCTATTGATTTTATAAATAATTAAATCTTTTTTCATCAGTTTTTAGTTATGAGGAAAAAAAGGTTGAAGAAGAGTAATTAAGTTTTTAAACATTTTTTCTGACAGATTCGAATTAAAGGGAATAATTTTTCTTTTAGGCTGAAAAGAGATCCTAAAAAGTAAGACCTTTGCTAGAAACTGGTTGATTAAATACTCTGAAAAATCAATCGATTGCAAAAGAGATCAGTCACCGTCAATGATCTTTTTTATCAGACTTAATGATATAGAATCCCAAATTCTTGTATAGGCAATGAGCAAGGGATACGGCAACGGCGATGGCGCCTTTAATTTATTCACACGATACTGTAGTTGAAGGAGGAATTCTGACGTATAGGTCGGCTGCTGTGTAAGGAACGCGAAGAATTGAACGTCTTGAGAAAAAAAGCCTCCTCGAGATAGGGCAAAGAGTAACGAAAAAAAAGAGAGAAAAGAAAAGTAAATCGAGAGAAAAGCTCATGGAATGAAAGGCAGAAGGAAAAAGGCAAGAAGCCGAGCGAGCGTTCGAATGGGTTTATCAGCAATAACTTGGGCTCTTTCATATCTCGCCAATAATTCCTTACCGAGTAGCGCTGTAAGTACGGGGAAAGGGTGGTAAGATACTCACTTATGTAGGGAACAATATATCTGGTCTGGCTATACGAGAATGAGTGAGTAGACGGAGCTTGTAAAGCTCATATATGCGCTCGCCAAAGATTCTTTGCCGTTTGCTTAGCTCAAAGCCAAGCGGTAGCGGTAGTTTGAGAGAGCGCAAATAGGTAGGTAGATGCATTCCTTGGCCGGCAAGTTAAGAGAGACCTGCGTAGAAAGGAGTGGCGCATCAGGAGAGAGAGAGAGAGAAAGAGAAGAGAAAGATAGCGGACGGAAAAGAAAATACTGATCCAACTGAATTTATCAACCAGATAAAAATGTCCCTTCGACTTGATATATATTGTGTATATATCTGCAAAAAAGCATGTATGTTACAAGTATCTAAACGTATATATAAGAGTGCATTAGTATGTATGTACAGAAGCATCCGGTTGTAAAAAAAGGATTTTAATAAAACTTCTTCGATTGTAAAGTACCGTAATATATACAGGCATATAAAAAAGGCAGCCTTTACATGGGTCAGCGAATCTCAAAGTCGTTCATCTCTTCTTCAGCTAGCTCTTCTTATCTGGTTATCCTGACTTCCGTCCACCGTCATTGTATAGGAGTATGAACGGCTCTCGGAAGATGAACGCTCACTGGTCTTCTTATGAAACCACTGTTTTGAGCTCTTCTTTTTATTACTCCCCCCTGAATTTCGATGGTATTTTTTTCCTTGTCAATATTTTTCCTACTATTGAATAAATTTAATCCCAATACTTAAAAAAAACCAATCTATAGGTCGGTTTTACCATGCTCCCATATCGAATGCACAGTGACTAACATAACATAGATTTTGCTGATAATAACTGAATCTGATTGATATTTGTTTCCAACCTATTTACGAGTACTCAAATACTTGAATAAAATCAAATAAAAATAATGTTTACACAGTGTTCCTTATTGCAGAGAAAAAAATGTTGTAAACAAAAAAACTAGTACATCATTAAAGATTCGGAAAGAGTATCTTAAACTGATAACATTTAGATTGATTTTGAAGCAAAGATTCCTGTAGTTTCCTACAAATTTAACTTTAGGGACTGTGGCTACTTTGAAGCAGACTGCGGTTAACTTTTATGAAATTTCGAGTGGAATGTTGCTTTTGAGTATATACTGTGTAGAGTTCAAGTTAAATAGATATTACATACTCCAATATCTTTATTGACTATCATTAAAGATTGGGTTGTTAATAAAATTTAATAAATTACTATGATGGCCAAGTAATTTTTTAAATTAAGACAGTTTAGCAAAGAATTGGTGAAATTAGAAACTTATTTATTGAACTTAGAAAATGCTTATATTTTTCTCAACAAAGAAAGTAATTTTCATTCAGGCCTTTTTTCATGTTGTTTATGGTGTATTTGAATTCCGCTTTGATTTTATATGTTACAAACCCATTTGTGGAATTTGGAATAATTCAAATTTATTTCATTCATTCAAAAGTAAAAAAATAATCGCGAACTTTGTACTTTTTTCGGATGCAGCACAAGTAAGACTTAAAATAACTTGTACAACTTACTTTGCTCGGTAAACACACTTGTAACTTTATCAGAATTGCTCGCGAGGACGATGTTGTATGTATATATGTATTTATAACGACTTAGCCATAATTATACATTCTGGAAGGAAGTTTGCGTAACAGCCCCGGCACTGGGCTTCGCCCTCTGCGCATATACGTATACGTGAAAACGAACAAGAGTACACACACATACTAATATATGTATATGTATAATAAAGTTATACGCCCCGTTATTTTACGTAACCTTATTATAGCGAAATAACAGTTCAAAGTTCATTAGGTCCTGTTTGCCGTCAAGACAACTAGTATCAAGTTGTTATTATTACCACGAGGCAGCAGGGAAATGCTCGCGCGCCAGCTCCCTCTTTCTCTTCCGCTATGAAAATGTGATTACGTGATTCTGCAACTTATGCTCGCCTTAAAAACATTACACTATCCCCCCCCCCCCCCCC